GGATTGAAAGCTTAAGTGAACCGACATTGCACGACCACTACTGTTACTGAAAAAAAAAAATGTTATATACATGAGAAAAAAAAAGAGAAGAAAAAAAAAATTGAAAAAGAAAAAAAAAAGTTATATTTAAAGTTACTATGGGTGAAATAAATAAAGACGAGAGGTAAGGGTTTTAGTCGAGTCTCCTTAACTATGTTGGTTCACTTTACACCAAAGGAAGTTTGTGAATTCTTTTCTAATTGATTCTAAATGGCTTAGACTCTGTGGTGGGATTGGTTGGAACTTCTGAAAAGATGTTCTAGTTTTTAAAATTTGCTATGGATTGCAACTTTGAAGGTGAAAATTTTTTGTCACTTAAATTTAGCTAGTTGTCTAGTTTGTTAAGTTTTTATTTTTGTTTGAGTCTTGTTTTGCTTGAGGACAAGCAAAAAGCTAAGTTTGGGGGTATTTGATGAGTAGATTTTATATTATATATTTTACCCTAATCTTAGTATATTTTGGTTAATATATTGAAAGAATTTTGATACTTTGAATTGTATTTTCAATATAGGACTTTCGACTTCCTCTGGAGCAAAACAGGACCAAATGGACGAATTTTGGAGTAATTCCAGTTGGAGGACGTTCGTGAGTCACTTAGCTTGATCGTATCAAAATTTGGGATTTTTCCACCAATCGGTGATTTTCTGACGATGAAATAAAGAAGCAGTGCGCAGTGCTGGAAAGTGACGTTTTTGGGCTTAAATTGCGTTTTTGGAGCCCAAGATGACCTCGGATGGGTTCGTGGCCTTCTGGAAAAGTGTTCAGAATATTCCAAACATCAAATCCAGCTATATTGGGCCAGTTTTGGAGCAGCTTATGGGCCAAAACGTGGCTGTTCAGATTTTAGACGAATTTTTACTATTTTTATTTAGGTTTTTATTAATTTTAGTTGGCGAGGGTTTGTGTGGTGGCTTAGCAAATATATTGCTTAGCCGTCTACAGTTTTATGATTACGCTTTATTTTATGCAATATTGGAGACAGAGAGAAAGTGCTAGGGTTTTGAAGATTTTTCTACTTGAAGGTGTTTTCAATCCTTTTCTTAAGAATATTTTCTATGATTTCAATTATGAATATGCGGAACTAATTTCTTTTGCTAGGGCGAAGCCTTGAGCCTTAGCATGAATATGTGATTTTTATTTAATTTCTTATGATTGATTGCATGCGGACTTTGAATTGTTAATCACCGGGATAAAAACTATCTAATTGTCGTAATGCCTGATCACCATTAGGATCTTTAGAAAAGTAATTTGATGCAATTTTGGTCGGAAGGTTCCCTGAAATTGACGCTGGCTTCTTGTGATTAATAATTTGTAATTTCTCTTAAGATGAATATCACGTCTTAAGGATTGCATGGTTTTTCAAGAGATTTCATAAAGCATAATGAGTCTTTCATGTTTAGATTTGATCCGAAACGTCCGGACGGGTTGCATGTTAGATATAACGTTCTATGTTGGAGGTTCCAAGTAGAAATATGAATTAGGAAAATCTAACCTTCAAAGTGGCATGTGTAGATCATAAGTAATTGGTAAAAATTCATAGGATTGCTAGGTGATGGTGGAACCCTAGTGCCTTCTTAATTTGATTTTCTCATAAACTGTTTTCTTTTCTCTAGCTTTAATATTACAGATTATCTATTTTAATTCATTAAATTCGTTTTTACTTTAAGTAGGTTATAAAATCAATCATCCAAATTTTTCTACTTTACAATCATTAATTTGAAATCTGATTTGTTTCGAATTATTTAATAATCCCTGTGGAGAATGACCTTGCGAGATCCGTTTATACTACAATAACCTTGTGATTCTTGCAAGTAAAATAGGAGGTTTTTATCGCATTTATATGAGTAGTAAAAATCCCTATCAAGAAAATGGAATCAAATGGAATCAATTTCTGCACTGTTGAACGGGTGCTGACCATGCACAGTTTCTGAAATCTGTACTGTTGTAATCTGTAAAAATAAAAAAAAATCGAAAATTAATTTTTTTTTTTAATATGTATAAACAGCAATAACTAATTGAAAATCTGATTCGTAGGAATTATTTTAAATAATCCCCGGCAACGGCGCCATTTTCTTGATAGGGATTTTTACTACTCATATAAATGTGATAAAAACCTCCTATTTTACTTGCAAGAATCACAAGGTTATTGTAGTATAAACGGATCTCGCAAGGTCATTCTCCACAGGGATTATTAAATAATTCGAAACAAATCAGATTTCAATTAATGATTGTAAAAGTAGAAATTTGGGATGATTGATTTTATAACCTACTTAAAGTAAAAACGAATTTAATGAATTAAAATAGATAATCTGTAATATTAAAGCTAGAGAAAAAGAAAACAGTTATGAGAAAATCAAATTAAGAAGGCACTAGGGGTTCCACCATCACCTAGCAATCCTATGAATTTTTACCAATTACTTATGATCTACACATGCCACTTTGAAGGTTAGATTTTTCCTAATTCATATTCTACTTGGAACCTCCAACATAGAACGTATATTCTAACATGCAACCCGTCCGGACGTTCGGATCAAATCTAAACATGAAAGACTCATTTATGCTTTATGAAAATCTCTTGAAAACCATGCAATCCTTAAGACGTGATATTCATCTTAAGAGAAATTACAATTATTAATCACAAGAAGCCAGCGTCAATTTCAGGGAACCTTCCGACCAAAAATTGCATCAAATTACTTTTCTAAAGATCCTAATGGTGATCAGGCATTACGACAATTAGATAGTTTTTATCCCGGTGATTAACAATTCAAAGTCCGCATGCAATTCAATCATAAGAAATTAAATAAAAATCACATATTCATGCTAAGGCTCAAGGCTTCGCCCTAGCAAAAGAAATTAGTTCCGCATATTCATAATTGAAATCAATAGAAAAATATTCTTAAGAAAAGGATTGAAAACACCTTCAAGTAGAAAAATCTTCAAAACCCTAGCACTTCTCTCTGTCTCCAATATTGCATAAAATAAAGCGTAATCATAAAACTGTAGACGGCTAAGCAATATATTTGCTAAGCCACCACACAAACCCTCGCCAACTAAAATTAATAAAAACCCTAAATAAAAATAGTAAAAATTCGTCTAAAATCTGAACAGCCACGTTTTGGCCCATAAGCTGCTCCAAAACTGGCCCAATATAGCTGGATTTGATGTTTGGAATATTCTGAACACTTTTCCAGAAGGCCACGAACCCATCCGAGGTCATCTTGGGCTCCAAAAACGCAATTTTAAGCCCAAAAACGTCACTTTCCAGCACTGCGCACTGCTTCTTTATTTCATCGTCAGAAAATCACCGATTGGTGGAAAAATCCCAAATTTTGATACGATCAAGCTAAGTGACTCACGAACGTCCTCCAACTGGAATTACTCCAAAATTCGTCCATTTGGTCCTGTTTTGCTCCAGAGGAAGTCGAAAGTCCTATATTGAAAATACAATTCAAAGTATCAAAATTCTTCCAATATATTAACCAAAATATACTAAGATTAGGGTAAAATATATAATATAAAATCTACTCATCATCGGCAGACCGCGAGAGGAAGAGGCTAAATACTGTTGCTATTTTGGTCAGACTTTGTATTTCCTTTATTGTCCATGGGGACTTCATATCCATGATCACCTTGATCTGACCATAATTGACCTTTATTCCGGGTTTGGTCACTAGGTAACCCAAGAATTTTCTAGACGCCACTCCGAAGGTGCACTTTTCTAGATTGAGCTTCATGTTGTATTTTTGGAATAGGTCGAAGGATTCTTGAATGTGGTCGAGATGGTTCTTCTTCTCCTTGCTTTTGACGACCATGTCATCCACATAGACTTTCATTATTCTTCCGATCTTTTGCTTGAAGATCCGATTGACCAACCTTTGATATGTTGCCCTTGCGTTTTTAGGACCAAAGGGCATAACGTTGTAACAGTACGTACCTCGGTCTATGACGAAGCAAGTTACCTCCATGTTTGGCTTGTACATCTTTATCTGGTTGCAACAGGAATAGGGGTGCATAAAGCTTAGCAATTCGTGCCCCTATATGGAGTCTACCAGCAAGTCAATCCGAGGAAGAGGGTACGGACCCTTGGGGCATGCCTTGCTCAAATCAGTTAAGTCCACGCAAACTTTCCACTTTCAGTTCTTTTTTCGTATGAGCACCACATCCTTTAACCACTCGGGATGGTAAACTTTGACGATGAAGTTGGCATCATTAGTTAAGTTTATTGATATCAGATTCAATGATCTTGCTCCGCTCTATGCCATGATTATATTTCCATTGGATAACCGGTTTGGCAATTGGGTAACAAAGTAGTTGATGGTAAGATGAAGGGATTACTTTCGTCTTATGAAGCCAGTTTCTTCCCAGTATGGCGTTGTGTGGGGCTAGGTAATCCTGGGTAATCACTCCTAAGAGGATGCAATATTTATTTCCTAGATATCCTCATGGATTCTCCTAGTTTAATACGGTTTCTACTATTCTAAAAGATTATCTCCACGACTGGTATAAATACACCCCTCTAGGGTTTATCTCTGGTAACGCAATTTCTGCACACTTATTCTCTTGCCTACTACTTGAGTCTTAATATTGCTTACTAACTTAACCGTCAAAGAGCCTTTGACCGACACACCTTCATCCCCAGACCCTAGACTCATTCATGGTTGTGTGCGCTTTTCTAGGTAAGCAGATTTGAGTATCTCCATCACTCATGGTGGTGCGCGAATTTGGTTCCAACAACCAATATTATTTCCAACTTTAACAATTATTATTAGGAGTAGAGTTTTATCATAAAATGTATTGATGATTAGGAGCATAATCTCCCATAAATAAATTGTATATTATCTTGTCATAATTCCAATGGGGATGTCTATTCTCCAAAAGCTTTAGGGCCTTTTCCAAGATTCAATGCTCTCAATATGTGTGTTTTTTGCAAAAAAGTATATATAATAGCAACACAATGCACAATGGAAAATAACATATGGATATACTTTTGATATAGAGCAAAACTACACACAATCAACCCGAGTAAAAAAAAGGGGCACAAAAACAAAGATCATCATGCTACGATCATAACAATCTTCTAAGAGCGACACTTTGACAAATGGAAGCAAAGCAAAACCCTGTTCAACCAATTCTAAAGCAGCAGCAACAACATTTCGGCATCAGCTAATGCTCTTTTCTGCTGCAGCCAATTTAGTTTTTGAGAGTTCAATCCCTTTGCTTTTTCCCAAAATATCATAATGTTTTTGTTTTTTTTTGAATAAAGCTTTAAGGTTATACAGAAGAGTACATAGTACATTCACAGATTCACTTGGTTTTGGAATGGAATGTTTTTAAAAATCCAAGTTATAGATAATGGCTATAAAATGTTGGTGGCCCCAAAAGGATACAGTGAGGGAAAGAATGAAAAAGATTTGGAAGAGATAGAGAGCAAAACGGGGGGGGGGGGGGGGGGGGTCACTTTAGCAGGCTCGCCCTTTCACTATGTCCAAGCTCATCTCACTTGGATCTGTTGCTTGCAATTCAAATGAAATGCCGTCCAATTCTCTCTTGAATCTGTCCTTGGAACTAGCATACACCATCTTCATCCTCACCTTTGATGAATCCGGCGACCTAATCCATGCCACAAAAACACATGTACAAGTATAGTTGTTTAGTGTTCAACAAAGTGCAAAAAGAAATGAAAAAAATTATTTGAACAGATATTGCAAAATTTCCCTAGAAAAATATTCACGTTAGAGTCATCGGAAAGAATATACTTGGAGGTCGTTTCGTACCTAAGATTGGCAACCAATCCAATCCAATCTTAGTCACTAAATGAGCCCTTATTATTAAGCTATATAACGCACATTGGTAATTTGAAATCAAGAGTGGTTGAATGAGTCATCCTTCAAAATACAACCTATTAGTAGTTGCATACAACTTTGTTTCTATAAGAGAGATTGATAACCATAATTGTATACAACTGGTTGTATGCATGGAAAAATTACTTTACAAACATGTGAGACTCGGCATGTTTATTCTCATTTGTTTTTCATGGGTGGCCTCATGCAAGTTATGCAACTAAGAAAGATAGTAAAGCATAGGCATAGCATATATGAATGACCATGGCATGTTTATTTTCAAGTTGATTTCTAAAAGAATACGAGGATGTGTAATGTTTGTGTGCAATTACTTACCATGCAATGAAGAAAATTTTGCTTTTCTGGCAGTTCTCTTCGGTTGTGAAATCGAAATCATAGACAGCATATCGACACTCATCAGCAGGAAAACTGGAGGTGAAATCATCATAGCTCTCACTAGGTTCCCCGAGCTTATCAACCACAATTTGTTGTTGCTCAATCTTGAACAGAATGAAGCGATAGCTCCTCTTTGCTTTTAGCTCCTTGAACCTCAGTTTGCAGTCATCGTGCACAGCCATTCCAGAAGCTGCATTGGCCTGCAGGATCCCATGCCATCATATATAAAAGCTATGTCATTAGTTCCAACCTCTAGTTAATTGGTGCATTATTATGCACCTATAGATCATAAAATTATTACTCTATATAGATCGGTTTAAGAAATTTGTTTTCCCTATTTTGTTTGTATAAGTGAGTTCTAAGAGCAAAGCATCACACAAAAAACGTTTTGTCGGATGTTAACATGGTGAATGTTCTCTTATTTGTTTGCACGTGTGATTCAGGTTGCGAATGTGACATGTTATATGTTATCATAAACCAATCTGGATCAAAATGAAGAAACGAACAAATTGGAGGGTAGCATGAAAAATTAAGCATCATCGTTACACAGCTCAATACGAACATAGTGCCTTTGGTTGAACTAATAAGAAATAAATCATCATATTTGACCCTACGATATTTATAAATTATCATAAATTGTAGAAACAAAAACAATAGAGAAGAGGATGCATACCATTTTATCTCCAATGAGAAAGGGCTTCTGAAATGTGAAAAAAGAGAGAGAAGGGAATTGGGGGCCTAAGAGAAAGGAAGTGGGGGCAAGAAGCAGAATGAGAGCCTATGGGGGCAAAAAAAGAGAAAATTGATCCTTGTTTTTGGGAGGTATGAGGTGGAGAAGTTGGAAATTAGGAGGCTAAGATAATGGAGGAGGAGAGAGTTTGGAGGAGAAAATTTGCTTCTTCTACCGATTGTGTCCACAAGTCACTTTAGTCCTTCCATTCCACGTATTGTAACCTCAATTTGTTATGGCTTTTTGGGATAAATTCTATTGAATTTTCCTGTTTTAGGTCTAAAATGTTGTTTGATAATCAGGAAAGTTCTAAAGTGTTGAAATAACCTAAGTGTTGGATTTAATCCGACGATCTGATCATACGATCCATTTTATTTCCAAATACCCCTTCTTATGACCATGGTTATTGGTTTATAATTTTAAAAAAGACGTGGTAGAAATACTTAGGTTTAGATAGATGCTGTAGTAGGAGGGTATGTAAGTTATGGTAGTTGAATTTTATTTGGTTTCATGGTAAGTGAAAATTAAAAATTCATAACATTTCTCTTTTCAATGTTGGAACCTGTTCAAAGTTTAAATCCTACCTCCCTGTTGATGAAATTATGTGGATAGCATCCATACAATTTGAAACTGTAAACTAACAGGGTACAAACTTTGTAATTAATTTATGCGCTTAATTTACAGTGAATTTTCATTGCTAAAACAAAAAGTAATTTTGTAAGAAATTACAGGTGTTGCTGCTTAGAGAGATTTTCCCAGTACTTATCTTCCCACTGTTGCACTTGTGTAATTGAATTAATATTCCTCCTGTATAACTTTGCAAGAGCTCGGGGTTCATAGGGAGGAGGCATGGTGCAGGGGTCTGATGCTGATGGACTCTTAACCAATGATTCTATCATAGACTTCTTTGGTGACTCATCTGCAGGACAAGCTATACTCTCCGAGCACAAATGTGTAGTGCCCTTGGGTATTCGTGGCTCAAATCTTAAGAGTTTAGCATATTCATTTAACAGATGAAACATGTAGTCATACACATAGTCCATCTTTAGCTCCTCCTGAATGAAGTTGCTTGCTGCTTTTCCAATTGCTTGTGCCTGTTCCAAAATCCGTAAGTAACAGAAACCGTAGAGTATAAACTTCCAAAGTAACGCTAGAGTGATCACATTGTTGACCGCACCTCTATAAATGTTGCACAAATAGCTCTGCTTGGAGTTTAAAGAGGACAACACCATAAATTACGAACAAAATGGAAAGTAAATTAGAAAGTGGAGTCACCTTTTGTTTGTGGTTGTTGCCCCAATCCACAGCAAACTTAATGGATCTACATTTGTTTTCATGCCTTACAGGCCAGTAATGGTGCACTGGTTGCAGACCTCTTGTGAAGAAATCATAGTACTTCGGTTTTACCAGCAATGTTACTGAATCACAGGCTAGAATGTACTTCTCGCTCACAGACCATGCATAACCCTCAATATAGATCTTGTACCTGCATAAATCATGATAAAATGGAATGACGATTAAAGTGAAATTTAATTACCAAACAGGAGAATTTTATTTATATGTCTACAAGAAGTACCTGTGTGTGCATTGATCTGCTACATTTGATTGCTTGAAGCCTTGTTGAGATTCAAGAATCCAATCCTGAAATTATACCTAATTAGTTAGTAGATTTATTGGCTAATTGGGTTTTCAATCAAAAGTTAATGATGTTGATAACATATGCCATTTGTTTAAACAAAATTAGTTTTTAATGGTACCTGGATGAATAGGCGAGCATTCCAGTCCTGTGTCCCTGAGACATTGCATTTGAGTAAGTCTTTCCTCGTATCAGAAACAAAGGGGTTTCCTTTCCAGTATGCATAAGGTTCTCTGTCCATCCATTTGATCCTTTGATTGCCTTTCTTGACATCTTTCAAAAAACCTTCCCATGGTTTTATGTTTATCTCATTCCTTAAAAAATTCATGCAGGCTATGAGTTACGAGAAAAAGTACTTTAAAACAAAATTGTAACATTGTCTTACCAGATATATAATATGTACGTTGTTAGACTGTGAATTTGTATGAATTTGGACCGACTGTTTGACATGACATTGTTCCAATAGAAGTTTCCCAACATTCAAATATAGCTAGAATAGTTACGTTGATGAATTATTAATTCAGTTTGTTTTTAGTCTTAATTTAAGTGGTCCTTAGAGGTTTGGTGCCCTATCATTTTCATGCAAGAAAGTAAACAAAAAAGTTAGGCCAAATTCCAAAATTTCAAACATACCAACCCCAGAAGGACCAATCAGGGAATACGATGTCCTTTGTCCATCTATCACCACAATACCGGAACAGTGGCGGTACCCGAGTCGAGTTCAGTCCGTGGTAGTCCCTCGATCGGATGACCGGCTGGTCATCACAGTCAAACATGAATTCCAAGTCAGGTAGTCTGCCAGGATACCTCCTAAGAAGCTGCAAAATGCCCCATATGGTAAAAACATCCCTTGTTTGTATGGACTGCTTGTACTTCTCAACATAAACCTTGCCCTTCACAATCACGAGCCTAAAATGTGCTGTCTTCTTTGCGTTCTCCACCATGTCCCTTGTGATTCCTGTGCGTTTCCATGGCATGAGATCCTGGTGGATGAACCGGAAATAATCCGGGCACAAAGGGTTTGGCGACGGGTCAAGTTCATCAGTATTGCTAAAGGTTGTAGGGTAGTTTGCTGGGCAGGTCTGAGTTTGGTTAGCATTGTTGCCAATGGAACAGTTGAGTGGGAATTCAACTGATTTAGGGGTTTTTTTAAACTTGTCGGAGACAACTATGGTTTGGTTTGTAGAACTACCAATCTGAAAATTGGACTGTATCATACAAAAACATGAAAATTATATGTCAAAACATGCATAGGCGGTTTAGGTAAAATTACTAGAACTATATCAAGTGAGTAAGGCTTACAGTTTGAACCCAAAAGGAAGATAGAGTGGCCGAAGCAATGATGAATAGCCCCACGAAGAGAATAGTATTGGTTGCAACAGCAGCTGGTGCAGATCCCTTTAAACTTGTTCCCTGAAACTTGAAAGGTCTGGCAAAGCGATATCCACGCAACATTGGAACTAATAATAATTTTGTCGAGCTATAGGTGACCTTGGAGTTCTGTAAGTCTAGAGCTTTAGTACTTCTTTGGATTCTTTTATTTTTATTTTTAAATTTTTTTTCCTTCTAGTTGTGTACAGCACCAGAAAGCCCTCTCGCGTAATAATTCAATGGTGGCGATTCATATATGGTGCTTCTCCAACTGGTAATTGTGTAGATTAATTTCAAGTTGACGGGAAGAATTAATTAAAAAATAATAGAAAATTATGAAATGATGGAAGAATAACGAAGAAAAAGTAAAGTGGTAATCCGTCGGTGATAAGATTCTCTCCGAATTCTTTATGTGAGACGGATCGTCGCATCTTATCTGTTTATTGTATATGATTAACTTTTGTTAAATATTATTTATGTTTAATTTTAAATAAAAATTTTTAAATAATTTCTGACGACACGATATAAAATAAACAAATATAATGTGAACACAGACTTCCGATGAGATCCAAATCAGTCGGTCGGGTCTATTTGTTTGTTTATTAGTGGTGGAGCCAAAACGCATTTATGGAGTTATTACGTGGTTGGCACGTTGCCTGGCACTCTAATCAAAACCAGTAAAATACACAAATTAAGAATTTTAGGAATACAAAGATATGTATACGAAGGAATTTTAACGAAAAGTTTTTGATATTGTTCACTTTAACGAAAAATTATATTTTTATATTAAAATGTCAATTATGATACTATTCACTTTATCTTTTATTTTGTCATTATCTTTAAAACTCAAAGTTTTCAAGTCATTTTTATTAGTTTTCCAATATACGAAGGCTTAAGAATACAAGGATCTTTAATTGCATGTTTCCACCGTATGTGTATTGTTTATGTTTAAGAGCTGCAAGTAATTGTGACACTATAGTTGCGTTGTAAAAGTCTTTGTAAATATCTTATAGTTTGTCAAAAAATATGATATCTGTGTGTTTCTTTTTAATTCAAAAACTTCTTATTAATCCCAAAACATGGCAAGAAATGGAGGAGCCTGAACAGCAAAAGACCAAGGGGCAATACAAAGAACAAAGCGGAGCACGGGAACAGTTTACACACAGAAGGGGGACCAACAATAATTAAAAGGCTCAAAACAAGAGAAGCAAATGACATAAAGATCAAAATGTTGCTTTCAATATTATCTGTCTTCGTAGGAAAAAGGTGTAAAGGCAGAGACCGACCATGTGAGAGAGCAAGAATAACACAACTATTGGAGGTCAGGGTAAGATTATTTAACTTCTTTTTACGGATTAAATTATATTAACAAATACGTTTTAATACGAACACATTTTAACCGTTAGATTGATGAGGTCGATCTTGATTAACATTTTCAACAGAGACTAGAGTTTAGATTTGTGAGTTACCGTTGAATTTGTTCGTATTGATCAATACAAAGTTACTATAGACGTGGTCTCTTATTACTATTTGCTTGAAGGATTTTGTGAGCAAAGGATCCAACACCAGCAACGACTCTAACTAGGCCAGAATTATGTTTCATATAGTAATGATGCTTACATGAAAATATATGTTCAACTTTATTTATTTTTTTGCTTTATGACAAAATCGCGTATAGAATTCTTCGACTTGGTCCCTCCATGGATGTGGAGATTGTTTGATTCGATGAGCCTCCAGATGAAATCGTTGATCTCCTGCAAGAAGGTAGTTGTACATATTGGTAATGTAAGTGCATGACACATTTCAAACCTGTATTTCACATTGCTTGTCTTGGATTCGATTTTTGGGACTGGTGAATCACAAGATATGGTGACTTGGAGATGCTGAAGTGTCTCTTTGATTCATCCTGACCTCTGAAATGGTGGATTGTAGTAGCTTGGCCACGGTTGACTTTTGTATTTTAGGTAGGATCCCTAATTGATATGTAATCCCATGTAATCACTTGTAATTAGTTTTCTTTCCTTTTATGTTAGGGTTGTACACCTATAACTTCCTTTTATAGAGAAGAATATCATAATTCAAAGCA